TAGACAGAGAGAGAATACAAAAAAAAATCGGCGAGAGGGTGGAAAAAGCGACCAGAAATACATCCCCCCATTGTCTGTGTGTTCCTGTATATAACGAACTCGTCAACTTGATGTCGAACAACGGGGGGGTTCTCTTCATCCGACGGCGACGACAACAACGGTCAAGATACGTGAACTGCAAGCGTATTACGTCGCTTACTTATGAGTGTTTTCGCCACCCAGAAACCTATCCACTTGATCCTCTCCGTTCATAGCGACAACTACTTACCACAGGAGGCCCTTTGGAAATTTTGCAATTTCTATTCCTCCGTTAAATATTTGTTTTTTTTTTACTCCCAGTTTTTTTTTATCTCAACCTCCCGTGAGCCGTATATCTTGTGCCACACTCATACATCAAACTGTTCCTCCAGGAATTTTAATTACAACTATGTGGGAGTTCCTAGAGATTTTGGCTGGTCGATATCAAGCATTTCAATTAAAACGATAGCTACAAGAAAATCTAAAGACGCTGTCTGTCCACAGTTTTATATTGCCTTATGTCAATATATAACATTTTTGAAAAAGTTTACAAAAAAATATCGGAAATAATTCCATTTTTTTTAAATTTAATTATTGCAAATAACTGCAGTTATATAATTAGTATTAAATATTTAGTGAAAATATGTATTAAAATAATAATATTTAAATGTATTAAAACAGGTTTATCCTATTAAAAGGAAGTATGTAAATTGTGTTTACATCTTATTTTTTAAATTATGCTCTCATTTACTCAAGTAGTAGTCAAGTAGTTTACATTTGCTTATAAAACTTACAAAATATGAAATGTCTTAATATTTTTTTGTTTAATCCCAAGCTAAAGTTTTATATAAATTATAAATAAATATTTAGATTAAATATTATTAATGAAAAAAAAACGTGTTTTTTGTTATGTGTTAAAATTAAACTAGTTTAATGTAGGAAATAAATATTGGATAATCAATGTTTCTTGCCGTAAGCAGAAGATAGCAAAGTTTGTAGTACGTTGTCATTTGAGGTGGAACAATGCAACTTCCCGGCTCTTTGTTTGCCTACTTAACGCGAAACTGAGCATCGCAGATAGGTATTGCACTACAAAATCTTCTCTTTAAAGATATTATTTATCAATTTCACACAAAATAAGTAATTCAATATGGAGAGGAAGGGAAAAAACTTTTGACAAAACGCCAAACTTTAATGACATTATAAGAATATGTTCTCATATTTGAATTTATTATGTAACATTATAATATTATTAAGTAACACATTTTTTTTAAGTTGCATTTAATATTCATGCCCGGGGCCTCAAAATCCAAAAACAGCCCTGAAGCTAAATGACCATCAACTAGTTGTTTTCTGCATTTTCATACATTTTGTTGCAACATAAAATTGAAGTATAAATGTCAAGTTAAGTGCGTTACATAATAGTCTTGAAGTAGAGACGACAGGTGAAAAAATGGAGAAAAAATATTTCATTAGATAATTTAGATTAGATTATTAATGTTAATAGACAATAATTATTATTAGCAAATCATTTGCAGTATGCAGAGCAAACGTGAGATATTGGTTTTGACCCATGTCAAGTTAAATGCGTTACATAATCGCCTTGAAGTAGGGATGACAGGAGATAATACCCGAGGCTACACCTTCCACAAATGTACAGCAAATCGCGTTTTGTTGTACCGGAATGTCATTATAACATACCCAGAGTATTTGTTAATTTTTGTTTGTTATTGTTCATATCGAAAAATATTACATTTGGATAATGTAGCGCACCGTGCATGAAATTAAATTATGCATTAGCATTGATGTTCGGTGACTTTTCATCTATTATTAGGGATTACATGCTACAGTCATTAGCTTTGTTCGAGCGATTACATAATGCATCCATAATTTACATATATATATATTAATTTTTTGGTTTAAAAATTTGATATATTTAAACATTTTGACGCAAAATCTTCTCTGACAAAAAAGGAGAATATTATTAAGTTTCATGAAACAAACACAAAATGTAACTTTAAAAAATGCTATGAAAAAATTAATTCATAAATATCTTCAATAAACTGAAGAAGTAACTATTTTTTTAATGCAGGTTAAAACATTCAAAAAAATAGTTTTAGTATTAGAGGGAACAGACTGAAAAAAATGAATATTCAAGACAAGAACTGTAAATATTCTTTCCTTTTTAACAACAGTTTTTGATGATTATTTATTCATTTTTTTATATAGTTTTTCATGGAGAAAATTATATTTTGGTATAGTTTTAAGTAATATTCTCTATTTTTTAAGTTTTTATTTTATTACAACATGTTTTCGTTTTATTTTGTGAAAAATAGAAAACATGTTGTATAAATCATTTGTCTTTATATTTTTTGTCAAAATACGAAAACCGGTTTTGTAGAAAAGTTTATATTCTAAAATCGGTTTTTTAATAGTCGTTTTTGTATAAACCCTGAAAATTTATCTGACTTGTCGTTAAGGGAGATAAATCAAAGAAGGTGAAGTTGGTATAACATTTGCAACAGTTTAGTAGTCTAGGGAAACGTGAAAAATGAAAAATGAGATGACCTATTGTTGCGTTGGCTTAATTGAAATTCTATTCTTTCAGCGCGAATCGATAGCTTATTGTGTACATAATAATGACGCGGAAATAAATGTCATGAATTAACCTTTCGGGGGGATTTTGGAGAGAGGGTCGCGCAGAGTTAATGGAATCGTCGTATTATTGGTACGTTATAATCTCAGCAACCCACTGGCGTCGCTGGAGGCTTGGATCCCCGAAGGGCGAAGGGTGCAGATGCAAATCGACGACGGCTGCGGTTGTCGTTTGAAAGCGACAAGTCCTTTAACTGCGAGTCCTTATTATTATTGGCGAGGAGTAGCAGTGTTTCTGGCTCGGACGCCGCGTGGCCACTAAATCTGTATCTGCAAGTGGCAGCAAAAAGAAGAAGCAAAACCGGAAGACCACGAGACATGTCGGGCATTAATTGTTGATGTCGATGTCAATGTCTACCGACATTGACAATCCCAACCCAAATCCCCCAAAATGGACAGGAAACGGTCGGAAAGTAGGGGAATGGCTGTATGTTGTCGATGCCCATTAAATGAGCTAACGCGCATCTGAACGGCCCTTAATAAAATTACGAGTGTGCGGAATTGTAATATAGGTGTATGCAGCGGCATTTAATAGTGCGAGTTTGTCGCATGATACAAACCGCACGCAGTATAAATGTGACCGAAATGGAATTTAATTATTGTATAATGCATTTATGCAGAGCGCGGCGCCTTGCGGTGTGCGCCCCCGCCACCCCCGCACGTTCTCCGCCGCCCCGACCCTCCGCCGTCATATGATACACCCCCTCACACACCTAAACGCCGGAATCATAATCGCTTCTGATAGCCAATCTGAGCTCGTTAATAAAGTGTGCTGGGGCGGTTACGGGCTGCATCGGGAATGCCGAACACGTACAAGAATTGTGATTCTGGAGGTGGTTAGTTAATTATTCAGCCTGGCGAAACAAAAGCGTTCAACGGGCCCACGCCGAGCAGGAAATTAAAACAAATAATTTACGCGACTTGGGTAACTAATTGTTACGGAGAAGGGATACTAGTCGTCTTTGGTACTCATTGATGATTGTCCAGAGAAAAGAAGGTATTCCGTCAACATCCACCTAATTGACTTTTATACCAACCTAGAATTACAATTAATATAAAACAAGCTTTAGAGCAACCAATGCAAATTGATGAAAATGGTGGTCTCTGTCTACCTAAGAAAATAAGGAATTACTATAAATACAATGTAACAAAAAATCCAAATGTAAGGAAACACTGACGATAGTCTCTATTAGAGAAAAGAAGGTATTCCATCAACATTCACCTAATTGATTTCTATTCCAACCCAGAATTACAATTTATGCAATGTAAAAAAATATGTACAAGAACGACTACCTAATTAATATTAAAACTTTACAACAGAATTACAAAAAATATAATTTAAAACAAGATTTAGAAGAAATAATACAATTTTTTGAAACGTTGTCGCATCTCATAAAAAACAATCAATATTATTACATTCAATTCGTGTTTTTAATTTTTCTTTAATTTAACATAATTAACATATACAGTTTAATTACTAATGAATAATTTGTTTTATGAGAAAATTTAATCTCAAAAATTGATATTTTATATTATTTATTTTAATATTATCTGGATGAAGTCTTTCTCATGATAATATTATGAAAGAAAAGAATACACTGTTGCTACATCATATATCGTTGCAATAAATTTATATAATTGGACATTTATACCTTATACCATTATTCATCTAGTGTATTTTTCTTATTTCACTTTTAGTAAGCTGTATAGTAAGTCATTGAACATTTATTATATAAGTCATTGTGTGATATATATTACAAAAAAATAATAAAATTTGTCCTTATAAAAATGTAACTTTCGGAAATTACAATGATATCAAAACATCCATCACCTGATAGATTATTTAAAGTAGTAAATCATGATATTATTATTACATAAGTACATATTATAGATTCTTATAATAATAGTTAAAAACTGAAAAAATCTTATGAACTCTTTCATAGCTGAAGTTAATTCCATCAGCTAATGAGAGATTTAGGTATGATATTATTATTATTAGATAATGATAATGAATAAGTCAAATTAAAAAAAAATCATGAAATAAATAATGTTTATTGTATTAAACATCAAAAACCTTTATTATTCAGAAATTAAAATCAGATGAACTTGCCAAATAACTGAAGGAATATGGTTATTATTATGTAATGTCATTTAATGATTCAAATTATAAAAATCAAGAAATAAAAAATTTGTATTGTTGGGGATATAATCAGATGAATAAGTGTAGTAAGCAGTAAGTCAAAATATTAGTGTTATATAAGTTATATATAAACAATGTAATATTTTAAATATTTTATTGTTTGTATATGAGAATCAGATGAACTCACCCATCAGCTGAAGGAACAAGAGTGGCAGCAGCATCGACAAAGTGCCCACAGGCAGACGGCCACGCGTGCAGGCGGGTCCGTTCCGATCCGCGGATCCGGATCCAGATCCGGTCACAGAGCTCATCTCGGCGTTTCGTTCAGTCCACCCCCGTAGGGCCGCCGACTTCCATGGCAGACGAACCGTGCCTACAATGCTGTCAATCTTGATGCCTGCGCTGATGCTCCTCCGTGCCCCTTATCGAAGACCTCAAACAGAATACAGAATATACATATACATATATACATGTAGATACATAGGCATACAGTGCACACACACACTGGTGGCTTTCAATGTGTTATTCGTATTAGCATAAAACGATACCCCGACCCCTGCAGTCTCAAGGAGGAAGAGGTTCGCGAATAAAAAATACAGACTGGCTAGAGGGAACGAGAAGGAAATATATATATATATCTGTATATGATAAATCAAATGCATTCGGAATCGGGCAGTCGTGCCTTTCAGCATGGGGAAAGACCGAGCACCCCCCGAGCGCCACCCCCGCGCGTCCCCTGGATCGCGCAACCCCCGCACTTAACTAACACGTGCCGCATTTCAACATCCGTATCCGTTTCGCATCATGAATACCGGACCGTGTGCGGAACACCAGGACCCCCCGGACTTACTTTCTGCACTCTCCGGAGCGGCGGCAATCGATAATTGCCAACTTCGCCGCCTCTTTCGGTACACATCCACCCCCCTGCGGGGTTTTCCCCAAGGGGTGGGTGGACCACCTCCGAGGGTGGTGTGGGTCTTCCCTCGCACAGACACGCCGCACGTAAGGATGGGGTTATTTAAAAACGAGCCGAACGCGCGCTTTTGTTAATTTACTTTAGCGTGACATCGTGATGGAATGTCACATCACTTCTGCGGAAATTGAGAAAGTATTGTAATAGGAGAGGCTGAGTGACGGGCGGGCGCTTCTTTATCAGCTGCAGTATATTCCGTCCGCTTGACACCTTCCGAGCGCATACTAAACTGCTTTATGCTATGACCCAGCACAGAAGCGCCCATCCAGCCTTATTCCACCATCAGAAGGGTGGGTGGAAGGAGGTGGTGGCCCTTTTGTTGCCACGAAAAAGTGAAAAGTGTGCCAGCCAAGAAGTGTACACGCTCCTCTCGCCGCTGGCTGCTTTCTTCAGATACGGCCGCAGAGCCGTGTCCATGCATAATGCGGCTTCTGGCATTTAGCGGACAACCTGATGGACGCTCTCGTCCTGCATCAATAACTAAACCCACGACCGGCGACACATATTTCACACGATATTTCCATGGAACCACTTCAACCCAATCATTCATTATACACAAGATGACTATAACCATTTACTTTTCACCATGCAAACCACAATTCTTCAAAAACTACAACAATCCATTAACATGTATTTACTAACTTTTTTTATGTATATACATACTTACATAAATATTTCTATTTGATTTGATCATTGAAATATTACTCATATTTATTGTATATTTACTTAATTAAATATATTTTATTATTATATTTTCTGCTATATTATGAAGAAATCAGAATATTTGTCTATATATATATAGTAATGTACAAAATATTTAGAAAGTCATTAATATGTTACATAATTTGTGCATTAATAAAAATTTTAGGGATCGCAAATGCTCGGGTTTACTACAGACCCAAAACATAATGAAGGATATTCCATTTAATATATATTCAATTGTAACTTAATACTTTACATAATAATTAATCCTAATTTCGAACCGCAAACTTTCACAATTTATTTGACAATCTTTTCACAAAAACTCACAAATGTGATTTTAATTATTACAATTGCATAAATGATAAACTCTATACTTGTTACCATAAATTAAAAAAAAAATGGATAAAATTATATAAGTTTTGTAATTTGGTAAAAAAAATAAGCTGAGATTCTTCAGATTTTGCAATCAATATTAAGATTTGTTAACTTATTAAAATTATTACTTACGACTTAAACAAATAAAATGTATTTTGTATTATTCATTGTTGTACATGGATTACTTTTCAATAGTGTATAAATTGCGTGTAGGTTGTATAAAACTGAACGTTATGTAAAAGCATGAATGATGTTTCTTTTTGACCTGTCACATTATCCTTCGTTAGAGAAGAAAATTTGATATTAGTCAGTTCGTGTTAAGAGTGTGGGAGATGACGAGAAGGTAAAATGTTCGACATCAGGTGTAAATACGATAAGATGGTCTCGCACGTGCCCTCCGTGTTGAGTCAGCAACACGAGTTTACGACTTTTCCACCGGACGTAACCCAATATTTCCGACCTGCTCTCCGGGACGCCCTAGCAATATACGCCCTTTTACCTATGGGCCACTTCATCCGCGACACTTCCTTTCTTCTCGCAAAAATGCAACCCCATTAGGCACTCTTTTTTTTTCAAACGGTTTTCGGTTTACTTCTCATTTTATTTTTTTTTGTTTCCATTTTTATTTTTCAGCCTTCTTTCGCTAGAAACGACCTCGCCTCGTTGACGGTACAAAAAAAAGTAGAAAACCGAGCGTCCGGACTGCAGCCCAAGAAGTAGTTAAATAAAATGGAAAATCGCTACGTCTCGCGTTCTAATTGGGACCTAACGTAATAGAGTTATCCCGAATGATATGTCACCCTCTCACAGAATTCGCGACGCGAATTCTAATCGTCGAGAAACAATAACATGAAGTTTAACTCGCGAATAAAATAAAGCTAAAGATAAATTTATTTTACAGTTTCTTCAATAAATGAATAAGGATAATTTTAATATCTATTCATAACTATTACAAAAGACTAATAGACTAATATAATAGAATTAGTTAATGATAATTGTAATGATTATTTTATGAAAAGTAATGTTTCATGTTGTACTTTCTCTTAAATTTACACTATATTTGCTAATAATTAATATTACTATAATTATAAAAAAGTATACAGTGAGTGTAGTTAAAAACTATAGCTTTTTTATAACAGTTTTGATTTGATACAAAAAGTAATGATTCGTTTCGATTGATTGAAAAATCGCATTTGGCAGATGGTTCCCTTTGTAACAATTTTAATTTACCAGAAGTCCTTTGAAAATACTATTATAGTTATTGAGTAGGCGTGCTTGTGAAAAGTGTTTATCCTCCGTATCGATGCGATTGATTTCGGGAACGCATTTGGCGGATGGTTTGCTTTGTAACAATTTTAATTTGCCAGAAGCATTCTGTTGCGGTGGAAAGTTGGCCGCGTCACGAGGTTAAGTGGATATACTGAGAGAAAGGGCTTAGAAATAAAAAATATATATATATATAAAATAAACAACAAAACACAACACTCGGAGGAGAAGGAGCAACAACGGCGAGTGGTGAAATGATTGGAAATCAGGTTTCGATCTGATCCGGTTTGTTTTAGCGGGCGGCTTTGTCGTGGCCGTATTGGAATTTAAGTGGAATCCGACGGCGGCGGTGGCGGGTCCTCCCTTGGAACAACGATTCCGCGGGGGCTCAGAGGCAACCACCCTTGGTCCTAGGGTAGGCGGCGCCTACTGACGCTCGCGGATATGTGGTTAAATGTTTGCTAATCTATGCGAGTGCGTGTTTGGTTAAAAGGGACGGCTGAGGGACGGCTGAGGGACGGTGCCAAAGCGGAGGAACGGGTACAAGCGGAGCTTCCAACATCAATCGCTCGGATTCGTTTGAAACACACATCACACACACACACGCGCCTACATATACATACATAGGCATAGCCTTACACAAATGTATACATATATATATAGAGTGAGAGGGCCGAGAGATGGATTTGTAGCCAAAGCCCCAGACCCCGTACGTACATCAGTCTAATTAATAAATGGCAGGCCGGTGGAGGCCCAGCGCCTACCCATAGCCACATATAAGATGATTAAAGCTATCTATCGTGCGCTGTTTATATTCGCAATAGCCTTCTGTTCCGTTAGCTCCAACCAATTTCGCATTCGCGTTATGTAAATGATTAGCGGTTTTGTCGGGAATCCGACGTAGTCTGTCTGCCTGTTCTTTGTGACGCGCCTCGCTGAAATCACAACAAAGTAGGATGGACCTGCAATAAATTGCGTTGCGACTGGATTTACGGCCCTTCGCTCACTTTCCCTTTGAGTGGACCCCTCATGCGCACGCTGTGCTCTCAATATTAGTACGATCGAAACTTTGAAAATGAAACTGACTAATTTCTCTATTGGTATTATACCATCAAAATGATGATCTTAAGATGGCCATATACCAAAAAAGTACTTTAACAGTTTATCATAACTGATTATTTGGTATATTATAGTTAAAGCCATATGTATTAAAAAAACTTTAAAAATTTAAACTTCTTCATTCTTATAACTTCTACACGATGATAATCTTCAGATGGTCATATTCCAAAAAAATCATGATCATGATTGATTAAGAATATCTCTATAAAAGTAGTTTGATAATTTATCAATGAAACTTCAGCATTTTACATTCTAATAACTTCATCAAAATTCTAAAGATCGTCATATACGAAGAAAAAGAGATTTTTTTTAGATAAATGGAATAAATTAGTTCAAGAAGAAAAATAAATCGTTTAAATTAAGTGATGGGACCACTATAAAGCAAGAATTTATTGGCTGAGTGAGATCTTGATATACACAACGATTCGTTATAAATTTTCATTTCCATAAACATGATTCTGTGTACAGAGGGGAAGTAATTGAAGTATATTCAATTTACATGTAAATAAATAAATGAATGGACGAGTGAAACACATATATATATATACAGTAATAACAACAAGGAATAAAAGAACAGAAAATGAAGACGAAAGGCATTGAAATTCCTTGAAAGCTAATATAATTACTTAGCTGTTGTGCACAGCTAATTGAATTCGGATACTCGACGTTCCTCCCACTCCATACACATTCTGTTTTATTTCATTATTATGCTCTACCATTTTATTCAACGCGTTTTTTTTCTATTTTGCTCTCTATTTATTTGTTTTTTTAGGAATTTCTCTTTTTTTTTCTTTCAATTATTTTAAATGTTCCGCGCTTTCTGGTGTCGTCCTTTGGATGAGCGGCGGCGGCAGTGATGTAGTGGCCATAAATAAGTAGTGCCAGTGACAGCGATGCCACTGGCATAACGCATCAAAGCCGACGACTTTAATAACCAGGACCTGATTGATGCGCTATAGTGACCAGAGCAGACCACAAACCGGTCACGGGCCGTACGT